TACAGACAGATAATTACGAAAGCTCTTAATTTTTAAGTGATCTCACATGAGATCACCGAGAGGTAATGGGTTAAATGGAACACCATTCCCTCCGAATAGGGAGATTACAACTGGGGAGAGCTAACCATCATCGGTAAAATGCTGTGCGTTTCTTCCCAGCAGTGGTCAACTCATAATCACTTTTAATAATGAGGAGGACCCAACAAACACTACCAGTGCACAAATTCGCATCAACACAAGAACTGTCAAGCCTCAAGAAATACGGCTTCCCGAACTCACCGACTGGCTTTAGACTTGCAAAAGATTGCCTACGCAAAAAATGGCATGAGCTTGCATCTAATGTAACAGTATGACTATGGATTATCAGGCTCCCACAAGTGATTAAAAGATACAAGGACATGGACCTTTATGAGAAATACGGCGCGCGCAAATTGTGTAGGCACACAAGGATTAGCGAGAGTCTGGAGTCTGACAAAGCATAATCAGATCCGATATAATAGCAGACTAATCTATTTATTCATTATACAAGCAAAACAATTTTGCAGTTATATCCATCAACCAGTACAACAATTTGTCCTGAAAAAGCAACGGCAAGAACACTTCGCCGTTTTCAAGTTTATTGTGTTTTCGGATGAGGGAGACAACATCAAGTTCGTTTGGTGGATGACGAATAACGTGCATAAACCACCTCAGATGGATATCCCCACAATGATGTTGGCTACTAAGAGAGGAACTTGAGTATGTCACTAGAAATATGGTTCGCAGTTGGCTGCGGTCAAAAACCTCGTTCTCCGTGCGCAGCACCCCTAAATCTGTACACGCAACTCTTCGTGAAGATTAAGATATCGCAATGGGTTCAATAAAATTTTTATATCCAGCGTTGTGTTTACTCCTTTCACCTGACGCCATATTCGGAAAATCATAAAAGCTTGAACTAGAAGAGTCACGTTACTAGCGTCGTCGAGACCACTCAGCAACTATGACTACTAGGTTTGTTTGACCACACCTAGGACATTGCCGACCGGTGTAGACACTAATACGTCGTACGTAAAACGACGGGTTTGGGATAGAATTCCGAACCCCGCAACTAAGCATCTTCGCGCCATTCACAGTCTGGGCACACATGAAGGACTGAATAGACTCTAAGCGCACAAGTTATTGCAGAGGCTAGCAAATTGGACTTTGCATGAACACGAAATAGGCCAAAACAACTACGGTGCAATAGGAATTCCTTACGCGTAATTGGTTAAGAGTGGCTGAAAGAAGGCAAGGTGATGAGTCTAATAAATACCAATGAGAAGTCCCAGATTTGAAAAAACTAACATAAAGTCAAAAGCACGTACTATAGCAAGGCCAAGAGTTCCAACAGGAGTGTTGCGGACAACCACGGGGGCAACTGCACCGGGACGGGTGTAAGTTGATTCATCTATAGCCGACTGGCGAGTTGTAACCTCGTAAATAGAAAAACGAAACGCAGGATAAGCTAGATGTTCAATAATTGGATAGCAAAAGTCCAATGAGCGGGAAAGATCAAGGAATCAAACAGTCGTAAATTCAGTCACCTACCTGACCTTTCTCTACCTCACGATTTAAATCGAGGCCAAACAAGTGCGTCTTGTCGTATAAACCTCTAATTCCTCCAGTATTATCAATAACGACATGTGAATTGAAAAGGCGCTGGTCTTCCTCCGTGACTTGAGGCTGAAGTGCCCGTAATACAAAACATAAATGCTAACCTTCCTGTGGAAACCGACACTAATCCAAATCCCTAGCCGCTCAGCCAAATTTCTGACGGAAGTTAAAAACTTTCCATCCATTGTCTCTGCCAGTTGAAAGGACTCCTTTTGTGATCCTGCAATGAAATCCGCGGCCTCTGGCAGGAATACCATCTGCCTGTTGTATCAATATATTGTGCACACAATTACCTCGGCACCCTGTTCGGTGGCCGATTCAACAAGTTTAGTTAACATTTTAATATTTTCTTCCTTATTATTGGTAGATGCTAGTTGAATAAGTGCTAACATGTTTCTTGGCTGACCGCGAAAATGACAAAAAGCCCGAATTAAGACCGGAGACCCAAGGAGACCAAGGAACAAGTGGACTCGCGATATCATTGGTTCCTTTCAAAAATCGCAATTTTTAGAACTCATACAAACTATTTATTACTTCATACCAACTATTACATATACTTTCTATCGATGTGAACATTTTGAAAACAATTTCAATGACTCATGCAAATTTCTGAAGGCATATTAAAGAAGCAAGGTTATCCGAAGCCTTGGAGGTGAAGGCCTCGTTGAACAACTCTGG